AAGAGCGGTGGAGTTAGCGGCAGAAGACAGAAAGGAAGGAGATCTGCAGTTGACAGACATGAAAAGGCGAGACATTGGAAAGTGACACATTTTCTAGCAGAGCCTTTTTAAGACTGGTAGACTTAGCTGGTGAAAATAATGAACTAGAAGGATGTTAGATGTCAAAGATGAACAAAACTTATTTTACTACAGTTTTGCATTTAATCATCTGCAAAAAACCCTGTCTGATTGTAGAGACACAGAAGTAAAATATTTCTTGGACTTGGGGTGTATTACCACTCAGTGAATATTTTATACCAGCTGAGGATCCATTCCATATTAAGTATTTAAGCACAACTATATAGTATATTCATCTATTTCTATATATTTCTGTGACACTCATCACTATTACAACTGACAGAACTACCATTTTGCAAGCCAAAAAACCAAGAATATTAATCTTTTCTTTCATTTGAAAGGATTGAGTTTCACCAGCAAGACAACCAGGTGAGAGGGAATAGCAGCGAGGCAAGATACTGTGATCTCCGTCATTAACAGGAAAAAGCCCGAACAACCCAAACCCCACCCTCAAAAACAAAAACAAAAAATCCAAGAAAAATAAATCCCCAGACCTCTCCAGAGCCCCTCTCAAAAAACCAAACCCCCCTAAAAAACCCCCCAAAAATGTAAAGTATAAGAGTATGCTCCTCCATAATGCATGCCTGCCCGTTACCAGATAACAGATTGGTTGTTTTTTTCTGGGTTTTTTTAAGCCTTCACTATTGCATTATCGAATGGAAAAGTCCTGCTTCTACAAGGCGCTCTGTTATGCTTATGTCTATGCAGACATTAAAGGCAGTATGCAACTTGTGCTGAAATACTTCAAGGTCTAATAACTGGTACTGGATTATACATAAGGTGTTTGTTAACCTGACTATGAAGCTAAACTGGCATTCTGCTGACCATGAAGCTAACAGACGTTCTACTGTTAGTCTTCATATATCTGTCATCTCTTTGATTGACTGCCCACATGTATAATTCAGATACGTGAACATTGAATTACTGGAATGGAAACTACTGCCATTTTTTCAAATGTAAAGTTCTGAAATTTTATATACACGAATTTATCTGAGTGTTAAATCAAATACTTTGGTTTGCAGAAAGATGGATGTTAGTTGCAGCTTTTCCTTTGCAGTTTATACTACAACTCAAATAAAAGTCATTATATATGTGCTAGAATTTGGCACAGACAGCTGTCCTCAAATCCGAAAAAATTCTAGTCTCAGCAGCCTGACAAGTAAATCACTTCTCACTGCTAGAAATGATAGCTTCATTAGGTCAAGGCTGAAGCTGCTGTTCCAGCACATGGAGTAAGTACTGCATTTGTCTGGATTGTATCTGGCTTGAGTATACCCAAAGGACTTAAATTCTTGTCTTGCTGGCTACTTAGCCATCACAAGCAAAACTCTGTCTCCAGTCCCCAAAAGGGGATGATTCCTTGTTGCGAATAAAAGAAAAAAGAAAACCCTCACATCATCTCCATTTCAAAACACACATCTTCCCATGCTCATATTTGTAAACATAGTGATAGACAATGTATATTTTACAAAATTCTTTCAATTGATAGGATCTGGAAACACTTTGCAACCTCAACAAAACAGTATGGTCAAGCTATACACAAGAATCACATCATACACTGCTGCAATGCATCCACTTTGGCTTTAAATGTGGCAACCGCAATGAAAATAGTAAATGATTTGGAAAATATGTCAGAGAAGAAAATAATGACATTGGAACCAGAATTCTCATTCTGAGCTGTAAAAGTGATAGCAAGTTTAACTCTAATTTAAATCTTTTTTTTTTTTTTTTAATAGAGCCTTTTTTTCCTGACTTGAAATGCATCTCCCATCTCTTTTAAACATTAGACCTTCCAACTCTAAAAATCTGCTGGAGCTGCTCTACAGACAAGGTTCCAACCATTAAACAACTCCAAGGCATAAGCGGGGGGACTGGCTTTGCCCAATGGAAATGGCACACATAAACCAGCTGTGCAACAGTATAAAAAAATCATTGGTCCCAAAGGAGCAACAGAAAGAATTTTATTGCCGAGAGTGGGTGTCTGTTCTGGTTTTGCTAACACTCAGTAATGTATGCATGAAATCACATCCAGCATGGTACTTATGTGCTGTGAAAACAATGTTGTCTGCTTCCTTTCGCTTGACAATTTATCCTGTGTATGCTAGCAACTGCCTTCACGTTGAAGATAAAAACCTTTAGCAGAGGTAGAAGGACCGGATGGTTCAGGCTCACTGTGTTCATCTTAGAGCCTCTTTTTGTCTCGTAAAATGGCAAAATACCTTACTACAGACCAGCAAGATAATATATTATATGGAAATGCCTTACACTGATCCCTCTAGTTGACTGCAGTCTCTGTTAGTAAGAGTTCATTCTCATCATAAATCATAAAAAGCTAGAAAAAAGTAGCCTAAAAACTCTTATCCAAATGCAACAAATTAAAAGTCGTATTACTAGTGCCAAGCAGCTTCTGATCAGTTGGGTTTGGCTATTCGGCCCCCGCTTAATGGGAGAAAAGCACAGGTAGCTTTTCATCCAAGGACACTCATTTATGGGTTGCAGGAACAGTCTCTTTCTTCCAGAGAAAATGAAGCAGTTTGGAGAGAGTCAGTCAAAATATGAAGAGAAATATATTTGTACCTTTGGGGATCCAAAATGTTCTGCCAGGCATTTATTAGCTATATTTATTGCTGTTATTGCAAATTGTTGCCACTCAGATGAAAAGGAAAGCACACACAATTTAAAAACCCTGAAAAGTGGAAACCACTGTCAAAATAGCAGAAAGTTTTGATCAATTTTAGCTGACAGTTTCAATCTGAAAACCATGTTCTACTTTTAGGAAAGAACCCACTGTCCTAGGTGCGGTATTCACTTCATCTTCTAGCCACTCTGCTCCAAACAGGTAGGTATAGTCTAATCTGTCTTTATTTTAATTTTGGAATTGCATTTTGGCAAAATGAAGCATCACTTGATTCCCTGTGAAGGGCTATGCCAGATAAGCACGTGCAAATCCTTAATTTCCTTTATAAAACAGAAATAAACAGCATAAAAAATTCTCTCTGCTTAAGCTCTGAATATTTCATAAATTATCTCAGCTCTGCTGCTTTGATTATTTTTTACAGATTAATGCCATAAATGAACACATGAGGCATTGTAAAACAGCTAATAAACCTTCACCTCAGAGGTTTACAGTATAAGACCATCAAAAGCTGCAGTAGATAAAACCTCAAAACACAACTAGATGAAAAATGGTAAGCTGGAATGCTTAATGAAATACTGTTGTTTTCCTTGTTTTGTCTTACTTTGCTGTCTCTACTTAGAGATCATATTTTTTGCATTTGCAAAAAACACAAATTAGTATAAAACAGTATTGTGGTAACCACACAAAAAATATCTCTCCAAGTAACTACAGCACCAATGTTTTTGAATGTTCTTTTTAACAGCTTAAAACATTTAGTGACAGAGACTTTGTGGTGCCATACTCCACCCTAGATTCAGATTATATGTCATGTTTGTCCTCCTTTAAAGAAAAAAACAAATCCAAATACTTTGCTGTTCGTTATAACTTATGAGCAATTGGTAGAAGTTCAGCACCTTCTTTGAGAAACTGTCTTGGGAACTGCAGTTATGTTTCCTGATCAAAGGGTTTCTTTTTGAAGAAAACTTCTGCTAAGTCTGACGAAGATAATAATCTTCTCTTGGTCTTGGCACAACAGGGCGAATTGAAACAGTACAAGAACTAATGTGAATTTCTGTCCACACTTCACACAAACGTAGCACAGACAGTCAGCAACCTTCCAGAGGTGATGTGCCAAGGTCTGCTTTCCTTTTCCAAACTGGAGGTTAAATGTGCCTGCAGGAGCTCAGCAGGGGCCAGTAGACACTGGCACTCAAAAAACTAGGCACATCTGAGCAGCAGTTTCTTGCCTCTCTGCCAGGCAGGGGCTGCCACTTCCCACTGAGCTCCAAAGTAGTAATTAAATGTCTATATGACACTATAACTGTTACCGCGATGAGCGCCTACATGGGGACATGGAGGCTAAGAGATACCCATTGAAGCATCCTAGTATCATTCCAGACAGTCACCTAGCAGCGTCTTCATCTGTGTCACCTAGTGCTTCTACACATTTCATCTGGTGAACATGATATCTTTATAATAACCACTGACAATACCAAAGCCTCTAAAACAGTCAGATGAGCTGCCAGAGTAGGACAATTTTGGCTACAAAGCTGATCGCTAACTGAACCCCTTGCTGTTTGTCTGGCAATTCACGATTCTCTGCCAAGGGCTGGAGTTTAGATTTGAAAATTGTTATTTTGAGGGTTATAGAAGCCTTTTGAACAATGCTGGCTACACACTTTCTGCCATTATCAAGATCCTGTTATTTTGGTTTATTAGGTAAGAGCGTGTAGAGGTGTTACTGGCTCCTGTTGTCCTTGTCACAAAGTCCTAAAAGTCCCCCCCACCTCCATCAGACAGCCGTGAGCAGCACTCAAGGAGAGCAAGTGCTTCAGGGGTAGCTGCGGAGACCACAGAAAAAGAGGACTTTGGTATCTAACATGTAATCATTGCAAAACCACAAGCTCCTGAAGCACAAATCACTGCCAGCTGGGAGGCTATTCTGAAGAAATATCCTTATGTGCTTATCCTGCTCTTATGCTGTTCTCCAAAAACCCACTTTTGGCTGGGGTCAGATACCGGGCTAAAGAGACCTGCAGTATGACTTACCATGGATATTCTTATATTCATTACCAATGCAGGTATTTTGAACAATATACTCCTGTGGCTAGCACACTCAGTAGATGAATTTTTTGGAAAGTAATACAAATACTGCCTGAAAATATCAGGCTCAAGCCAAAACCTCAGTGATATTGTGATATACCTTTATGTAATTGCACTTACAGTGGTTCCAAGCAGAATAGTTGGAAAACCTTTACAAACTCAGTAAAACAGCTGCCAATGATCTGAGTTTAAAAGAAAGTTGGTGCCGGATTCAGCAACACAGTGCTGTATCTGCTGAAGTACTGCTCATGAAGAAAAGCAAAGAGAAAGCTACTGCTGCTGCTGAGACCTTGCAGTAAGCTCAGCACAGCTTGAAGGAATTGTATTTTTGATGTAACTGAAATTATATGCTACTTAAGTATAATAAATTCTTAAAATAATACTTCTTTTATACTTGAAAAGGTTTGTGGTCACAGCAGTAACAGGATAGCTATGCCAGCCAACCTTCCCACCACAAATGTGGTTATAGCACCAAAAAATTTTTGAGTCTAATGTATACACCCACACCAGCAAAAGCACTCACATGCCTCTATAACTGAATCTACAATAAGATTTTTTTTCTAGGACTAACTACGTTCAAACAGCAAGATAAAAGCTCGCACTGGAACCCATAAATGGCAACTGCCTGTATTGCAAGATAATTCTACCTACAGAAGGAGGAGGAAATGCATTCCTCAAAGTATGTGTTATACCAGTGTAGAGATTCTGTCACTGCTAAAACAAAGCTAAGGCTTTTTATTAGAAACTACCTCTATTAGAGTGAAGAGTGATAGATCTCATTCTTTGGCACTACAGTCAACTAGCATGGTCTGGCTATGCCCACATTATTGACCACCTTTAAGAGAGGGTGACCACATCCAGACCATCTGTCTGTTGGGAATAGTTTCTGGCCTGTGCTAACTTCTCTAATATGCCTGGGCGTCATCCGGGAAAATTTTGCTTTGAGTGGGTCAAAGGCACACCAGGGACAATGCCAGAAACCTCACAGGATGGGAGATTCATCTCCCCCATCCCCCAAGTACCATTTACTGGTACAGAAATAATTTTCAAGGTTATTACCCAAACCCTTGCGAAACCAGAAAAGGCACCAAAAATTCCTACAATAGTTTGTGGATTGTCCGGCATGTCCGGCGCGCCTTTCTAATGAACAGAAATATGCTATGTAGCATTTATACCCTTTTTTATTCTTAAGCCCTGACGATTAGTACTAGCAAGGGGAAAGTTATATTAAGAGAGCCTGCAGCTCCATCAAAACAATGCGCTACAATTATTTAGATACAGGCAAAAAAATATTTCAATACTCTGCTAAACATATGGCAGCAACATATTTCTCATAACTAAAAAAGAAAAATAAGAGAAACCTCTTGGAATACCACACTGAAAATCCAGTTCCTTCATGTTTCATGGTGAGGGTCATGCTGTTGATACCAACCGTGTGGAAAATGGTTAAAAGGAAGTTTATTCATTGAGACCCCTTACTGATGAAAGAATAACGACATCTTTAATCTTTAATTCCTTTGCTAACTCCAAATAAATCTCACACCGTTTCTAAAGCCAGTGGCAAAACTACACAAAACCCCACCTGTTAAAACCCTTCTGCCACAAAAGTAGGCAGATCATGTTGCACTCCACGTGTGAATGTGTGGAAGGTGTGCACCAGATACAGCGACTGAAAACTAACCTTTCGAGGATCGGAAGTGCTTGCTGGGCGCCGTGAAGCCTCTCGTCCCGTGCACGTTCACAGCTGCCACGCGGAACTGGTACCACCTGCTCGCTCGGATGTCCGTCAGCCTAACTCGCTCATCCGTAGTCTGGTGGGGAAAATGTCATGCTTACTTCATTTGTTCTGACATGGCCAGTTGTGCTATCATCTCCTATGCAACAGCGGTTATTCAGACTGAAGGGCAGGGGACGAACTTCTCTAATAGGCACCAGTGTCAGCAGGCTGTGTGCAGCCACCTCACCTGACTCCCAGCATCATTCTGCACTGCAAAGCATTTACAGCTGTGAACAAAATCATATAACCACCCAATTTTACAGTGTATTGCAGGTCTCTTCTGGAAAAAAAGTAACCTTTAGAAAACCAGTGAAGTGTTAAATTCACAAAATTAGTTTTCCAGTTATCACAACCTTCCCCAGTGTATAGGGCCTAGCTGTTCAGGTGTTGACATTTCAGAGATCTCATTGCCCCAGGACTCATTTCTCCAATTCTCAGAGAATTAGGGTCCAAAATGGCTTCACGAAATCCAGCGCTGTGAGAAGCCGCCTTTTCTGGTTCATAGGAAACACGAAACCCTCAGGTAATGAATGTAAGCCTTCTTCAGATCTTTGGCACTTATGTCAAAAAGACACTCACAGCCTTAACTCTTCCCTGCAGACATTTCTCAGGTCATAGGAGATGACCTTTTCTCCAGCAACACCCACTGAGACCGCTAGTGTCATGGGTTCAATTTCCACCTTCTGTGGGGAGTGCCTTCACCGCTGAAATATGGCATGAGCATTGATGCACTCTGAACCCTGTCAGTAGGAGGTGCCTTACGTGCCCTTATTCTGAGTCCTGCTTCCCTCGATCTCTTTTGTTTTCCCTTTAAACTTTTACAGAGCTATCTTCTGCACTGTTTCTTATTTTTCCTAAGGTACAAACACCAGAACTGAACACAGCCTCCTGGGAACCCCTGAATCACTGCCAAGTACAGAAGATGTACCAATTTTGTAGAACTCATCAGAAACTCATCCACTTGCTGCAGATTCTACTTCTGCAATTACCTCTCAATTATCCAGTTTTCAATTTATTTTAGGATGTCATTTTTATTGCATTTTAATTTAATTCTTTAATCAAAATAACACATGAACCTGAACCAAATGTCCTGTATATGTCTAAATTTACTATAAAATCATTACCAATTATCATTACTGACCAAATACGCAAGCCCATTAAAAATGTTGTGACAGCAATTTATTTTTCACAAGCTCTGTTTTCCATAACTTCAAAAATCCACCTTCCTTGTATAGGATTCAGTGTTATTTGCAACGATGCCAAGCACTTCCCAAAAAAAGGCACAGCATCATTTCTGCTTTTTGCTCTTTCCAATCCGTGTAAAAAGTAGCAGCTGCTGACCTAACTCAGAGAGCCAGAACTTGAGGAAGTTGCTTCAGTTCTCCAGCAATGGTATTTTTAGAGCTCTGACCAATGAAATTTGTAGGTGTTATCCTGCACTTAATCTCTTCATTTGGTGACAAGCAAAATTTAGGGAAACGGATATCGCGCATGTAAAGGAAAGAGAGCCTTTCTAACTTGCGCTATAGGCTGCTCTCAGACCAGAAAGTGTTGCAGACTTTGAGCCCCTCACGTATTGCTGCTACTCAGAGTCCTTCTCCATTCAGACCGCTGCATTTGTCTTCTTTAGCTTAAGCAGGGGAAACAGTCCTGATGCTTTCATTGTCTGCCTCATCTTCTTTCCTTTTTTTAGCTATTATGTTACCAGCAGAGTGAATGATCTCGTCCAATGAAGGGGTTCCCCTAGGGAAGAAAGAGCTGACCTGAACCAACTTTTACTATTATTTTCATTTTATGGAGCACTCAGATGTGCTAGTTTTTTCCAGCGTGCAGGCCCACAAACTCAACAGCTTACAGATAAGACATGCCAGTGACCTAGAGTAAAACAAACTATCGCTATATTAACAGAAAAATACCCCATATATTCAAGCTACTGGTGCAACTGAGATCAGGGTCAGGATCAATATCTAATTGTAATTAACTAGTTACAACACTGTGGGTTCTTAAAAACAGATTTGCTGAATTTACTTACAAGGTGAGTATAATCTGAATAGACTTGACCCCAAATTCCACTGCTAAGGGATCTTGTTTGTCACTTGCATCAGCTCAGTTATTCTGCTAGGACTGATTAAAAGAAAGGATTTCAGCCGTGTCAGTCTTCCGTGGCAACCATAAAATACTGTAAGGTCAAATAATCTGTCAATCCATATCACCAAAATTATTTTAATTTATGAACATGCCTTAGGCCTATTACTTTCATCATTCATTTTGCTGGCAAAGCTCCTGTTAAACTCTATGGCATGCAGGAGGTGTAACTCCTCCATTATAGAGTATAAACTACTTTGGCACCCCTAACTAACCTCTACATAGATTTAATAAATTTCAAGAAAGAGCTAAATACTACTGAGATATCTTATGCTACCTTAATGGTAAATTGATTTTTTTTGTTTAATTGCTTCAGTTAGTTCTCCCTACTTAAGCATGTTTGGAGCCGAGATCATAATATTCAGAGTCCTTTCAATACCTGTCTTGTATTAATCTAAGCCCACTGAATGGTACGCTGAGTGGTATTACAGTAATCAATGGACTGTTTTGCTGCGTCCATTCCCTTTCTTTCACACTATCAATCCTGGATTCCCTTCTGTAGTGCAAAGGTTTAATGGAAACAGGAGAGGACAGCCTTACCCTGCCGAGTTCATAGCTTTACACCTTCTTTTGCAACAACACACAGTGATAGAAGAATTTGCAGTTCAGAGAGTGAAGGGATACCATCCGGGGTATCACAAGAGCTGAGTTTATGTTTCCTCTGATACAGAATAAACCTGACAGTGCTGCATCCACTACTCTGTCAAAGGACACCAGACCTCCTCTATTTTGAGTGAATGCAATCCCACACAAGGCGGGCACTCTCTAAGCATGCTTACCAAAGCAAGCCCTCTCCTGGGAGATGGAGAAATAAATCTTTACTGTACAGAACCGGTGGTTAGCTCCAGCAGGGATTTCTCACTGTCAAGAGCTCAGAAACTTCTTGTGATCCTCAGAAGCAGAACTTTAGGTGTCTCAGAAATTTTAAGTTTTAAAAAAGATTAGTTGTCCACAGAGCTTAGACAATTTCGAGGTGAAGCACTACAGTTTGTCACAATCAAGCTAGCAGTAAATACAGCTCCTTATCTATTTTAATAAAGGTATAAACTAATAAGTAACCTTTATTATTGTCTGCCCATATGCATACATACATATACACACACACACACAACATCCATTCACACAACACTGAGGTGTTCTGTCTGAAAATAACTGACCTGGCATATTTGAATTAACTTCATTAATTAACTTAATATGATTAACTATCTAAGTTTCCAATGTAAACAGTAATACTCTTATTGTTAGGAAGCATTAGCACCAAACGGAATTCTAAGTTTGTTCACAAGATATACAGTATTCTAATGGGACAGTGCGGCAGGTTCTGCTCAGCTGGTTAAACCTTAGAAACCACTAGTGTAAGAAACTTGGCACAACCGCTTAGGACACTGTATATCATAGCTAACAAGGCTAACAAGTATCTTAGTTCCCGTGGTTTTTATATTAACCAATGGAAATTAGTCAAATGGTTAGTTATGCCATGTTTTCAAAAAAATGTGCAGTAAAAAACTAAAGTTAACAATAAATAATAAATAAATAACAAATAAATAAATAATGTATGAATAGATTGAGCCTTCCTCCTTAAAAAGAAAACATCGTAAAAGACCTGATGACACAATACAATACAAAGGAGACAATTTTTTTCAAAATTATTTTTCAATACCAAGTAAAAATTTATGTGAGACATGAGCAATTAGTTGCAAAGTAGCTCATGTAAAGGCAATAGAAAACAGCAATTTTTGAAAAGTAAAAACCTTAAAATAAAGTTATTGAAAATTATAACCCCATTTCTTCTTGGATAGATAATAAAAATAGAATATAGGATGAGGAACTCCGATAAAATATCATGAAATTTCTTATAAGAAGATGCAAACAATAACTTTGCATAATGCCACTACATATGGGCATCGGCATAGAGAAATTCAGATCTTCACCCACAGCCTTTTTGATCTTCAACTGCTTTTTACATGCTCTCTAGCTTAAGTCCCAGAGTAATGAAAGAGCCAGCATCATCTCCCCTGGACTGAGATGCCCCAGGACTTCTCAGCTGAATGGCTGAGTTCTTCACAGCCTTTGCCTGTAAGTAAGGTCTCATACCCCAATGTTTTGGAATCATACAGGAAAATCTCTCAGTTATACGGACAAGAAAAGCCCGGAGGCTGTGCACACAGTCACTTTAGTCAAACTGGATATCCATCCTTGTTGCTGATATTGCAAAATAAATTCTACCGCATGCAGCACACTTAACAAATTTGACTGCCTGGTGGGATGTCTAAAACTAGAAACACCGTGAAGGTACGTTACTCTATAGAGACAGAAATTCTGATTACTAGCATCCGTCAAGAGTGCCCAGCCTGTATGTCCTATAAGGTACACACAGTTCATAAAGCCAGTCAGGTGTCCTGAAGCTTGTTCTGATCTGACATCCCCAGTGGGGTCCATCACACAACCAAACACACATCTCTTGTGATGCAGAAGGGACAGAGGAGTTCTCAGAAAGATGTCAGTTGGAGGAGGCTTCTCCTGCCACAGAGATTAGCTCAGCTCCTTCTGCCTGGGTGTAGCAGACCCCCAGGAAAGGCAGCTGTCAGGATTCTTATCGCTCTTGCACACGAACACATTTCTGAAACACCCTCCTGTACATCCACTGCAAGAAGGTAGAGGTTTGTATACGCTCCACTACTGTGCATATATAGTCCATGCTTCCAGACATGTGCATGAGGTCTGTTTCTGGGATGGGAAAAAGCACAGCACTGTGCTACCTTTGCAGGCTGGATCCACCAGCCAGAAGAGTCGGGCTCCTACAGTCTAGCACATACACATGGCACGATAACAGTGAGGAGTAATTAACATCTGGCTCATTTGGGCTACATGGTATTTTCCTGGTAGCAAAGGCAAGTTGTTTGCTGAATATGGAGAATGCAGATTGAAGAGCTGCACTTCAGCTGAGAGATAATAAATAAGTCATTGCAACTTTATCAGGTTTGGAGGTGTGCACGTGCCCTTGGGCTTGCACAAGCAGGGTTTCATGCCAGGCTCTGCTGCAGGTGACTTCCTGAGCAAGACTCTAACATAGTGACAGCTCCCTGTAGCACCACACTGAAGCTAAGAACTTCACTTCTGAGTGTTCAGTTTCACAAGCTTGACATTATTTTAGGATAGCTTTTTCCTACACAATCTGAATTGACAATGAACACAGATTGTCACAGAATTTAAACTCCATACTTTATTTTGTGGATGGTTCTATTTAGTCTCTTTCCTTTTTTTCCTAGCTATAATGACATTTTGCAGGTCTTCTCAAAATCAGCATTTTACTTTTCTTGTCAGCAGGGATGAGGGTGAAGAAGTTAAGATAAACGATTGGAACTCTGCCATCCAGGTGGACTGTCAGCATGCTAAAAAACAGATTGAAACTGGGAAGGAACTAAGTGAAAATTTATGCTCTGTTGGCTGCTTCTCATTAAGAAACATTTGCTCATGAATCTTACATTTTCAGTCTGTATTGCACTGAGTGATAAGAGCATGACATCATAGTCTTTTCCAAAATGGGAGGGTAGCATCTGAAAAAAGCGACGTTACAAAGAATAAAGGTTTTAGTCTTTTTTTCACTGTTTGTTTAATTTTTAAAAATTAAATAGCCTTTTCACTAATTGTATTTCTTATCTTTTTGATAAGATCCAAGCTATGCCTTGGAGACTGTGCACTGACCTTAAAAGGACTATGTTTCTTATGTGCTTTTTTTCAGTAGATTTTGGTATCTAATTCTACTTTTTCAAGACATTTGTGGCTTGCAGAGACTTTGGAATTCCCACCTGAATAGATCGTAAGTATGTGCTTACCAGAAAGTGCCACTCATTGGCCTTAGAAAAATCAAGCCTCCAGCTAGTTCTATAGATTTTTATCTATAGACACCAAACCCACAAATAAAAATTCATTTTGAGAACATAAACCTCTGAGTATTTTTTTCTTTTGGAGACAAGGAACCCACTATTTACTTCTTTACCGATAGATTCACACATTTTTTATGGAGTCATTTTCAACACATATCAAAAGCATTCTATCACTGAAAAACTGGAAGGGAAAATACTGAAATTCATTTCTCCTGAGTGAATCTACAAATGTTCACTGAGCAGTGAAGTAAGGTCTTGGAGATCTGGATTCTGTTTGCAGGTCTGTTGTGACCTGGAGAGAGACCCTATAAAGGGATCCCTCTGCATGAGCCTCCCAACCTGTAAGTGATCCAACTCTTCTCCAATCTGAAGAGGACCTTTAGGTCATGGTCTGGAACCTAGGGATCCGTATCGCCTCACAAAGAACTGACCTGTGCCACAGTTTGCCAGTTAGTAGCATCATCCTCACTTGGATGGATTCCTTGATTCCATCTCCTCTGAACAACATATATCACAGGCTCAATGGAAATATTGAATTTTGAAGACCACTTCACCTCCAGGTCTCCAGACTGAAGTTCTATGAATTTTAATTCTTTCCGGGGTTTCAGTGGAACACCTGTAATAGGAAAGTGCAGACAAAAATATGTGAGTAATTTACAAGATGCAATTAAACCATATGTCAGTGAAGCTGTATATAAAAATAATTAAAAAAAAAAAAGGATATTGTCGGTCAGACAGAAGGAAAAAGGGAGGGAATGGATAGGCTGATAAGTATGGCACTTTCAGAAAAGCTCATAGCTGACCTATCTCTGCTAACAGTAAAATTTGTTTACGAAAAATCTTCAAAAATATTTCTTTATTTCATTTAAATACTAAAGGATCTGGAAGTTTAAGCCAAAAACTGATCTCACATAAAATGCTTTCTAAATGTGCTTTGATAAAGGGAGAAAGATCCCTTTGATTTCCAGCAGAATCAGCTATATCTGTTGTGCAGTTTTTCACCTCATTTGTCCATAAACATAGCTAAGGACAGAATTTCCACAGCATCATGCAGCAAGCCATTCCACTACTTCTCCATCCTTGCCACTAGAAAGCTTTCTCACTAACTTGTTTAGTCTCCTCCACTGCATTTTAAACTTGATATTTGTCCATGATGTTCATGGATCATGGAGAACAGATTCTTTCTTGCATCTATGGAGGAGCCTTTTATGTATCGCAAGACTGTTATGCCTCTGAATGTTTTCTTCTTCCATCTAATAACGACAGTGCACTCCGTTTTCCTTTTAAACGTGTTTCTAGACCTCTGATCGTTCTTGCAGTTGCCTCTGGAAACTTTCCCATTGGCCCACAGCCCTTCTCCAGAGTCAAGCCTAAAAGTGGACACAGACTGTGTCTAAGCCCTTACCAGAGCAGACTAGAGAAGCAGGATTATTTCACACATCTTACGTGACTCTCATATACTTAAGAAAGCTTTTTGCATTCTCCATGGCAGCATGATCTTACTGACTCACAAGCAGCTGTATTGTATGTTGTGTTACTCTCCACTCTTCCTTAAAGATCTAGGAAAGGTCACTCCAAGGCATCTTGGAACAGATACGATATATCTCATGTATATTTTCCGATTGTTACATTTCAGAGACAAAGATGTCATTATAAAATTTTACAGTAATTTCTCATTACACAGTGACACTGAAGGATGGTTATTTCTGTTGTTTCTACTGCTGGTAACGTCACCTTTTTGAAAACATCTGCAATAGCTTGAAGGGTAGAGCCACTCTTCAAATTTGGCATCTTTTCATTAAATCAACAAATCAAGTGTTAGATACATTTCTCTAGACAGACTTTAGGAACTCATATATTTGAGTGCACAGCATTTTGTCACTTTAGGATATGTCACAAGTAAGATTTCTATGCTGACATATAAACCTTGTTAGCAAGTTGTTGTATGCACTTTAGTTAGTTTGTCATTTCAGTGGGTGTCCACATAAGTCCAGCTGTATGTGTTGGTTCAATAAATTGTTTCCTATTTAGTCTGCCACAGATGACTGTGTACCAAAATTTCCTTAGGTGAACAAACCACTTTTATGTTTTAAGAGGTCTTCTCCTAAATCTAATTATATAATTAGCTATAAGTAAATAAAAATTGATATTATAGCCCTTGAAGAAACCCAAAATCAACCTAAGGAAAATCCACTATTTAAATCTGGTTATCACAGCAGTTTAAACCCTGGATATCCTTCAACAGCCCACAGTCTTAGTCTAATATAGCAAACACCACAGAACATGTCAGTTCGGATTTTCACATTTGAAAATCCTTCTTTAATTATGATGTACAATAATCCTACAATTTGCATGTTAAGAAAACTTCCATCTGCTTTGCATTAGGGGCAGTTGGATTCACTTGATTGCAACTATCTCAGCCTCTCCGGTGTTACGTAATTGCGTGCAGATGGAGCGGAGCAGCACAAACAAGGAGAGCACAGCATAAGTGCATTTTAAAATACTTTTGTAGAACCAGCACCATCAATTTCATATCCAGATGTGTAGATCCAATCACTCTTCAATGTGCTTTTTATTATGTAAATGGTCAGCCCTTTCATCATGTTGGAACAAATTAGTCCTCTGAAGTCTGTAGTGCTTAACTGAAGAATTCAAATCACTGATTGCTGTACGTGTGCAATACCATAGCCCAGGAAAAATGTTTCTAAAGGTGTCTTTGAGATGGCACATGCATCTCCATGCCATGAAAGATAAATGCACACTGGTCCGTCGTAAGAATCGGTATCTTAAATGTCACCAGGTATTCAAAAAGTTTCCATGGAAGAGTTTTGGACAGTAAAGGGCACATTCATGGCGTCAGTGCGATTGCAAACACAATTGTGCAAAGACTCAGAGATGTTCACCTTTAAAACTTTACGCTACTGTTTTAATACAAAACTATTTCTCTTTAAGCATGAAAAGAGCCTTTAAACTGTGGATGGCCATCTGGCTCCAGCTATCCTATTATGACACTGTTATACCATCATGCTCTTTAAATGTCATAATCTTCTCTTCACAATTTACCTTGCCCAGATCTGCAGTTTGGTCTGCTGTATGGATTGCTCCCTTACACATTTCAGACAAAATTAGTTAGGCTGGTTTAGACAGCATGAACCCTAAAACTTTGTTAAAAGGGGGTCCTGGAAAGTTCACACAAGTAGGTGTATCATCATATCTGAGAGACCACTAACTTCTGAACAGGAATAAGGTGATGAGTAATTTTTTCATCTGTCACCAGCCGAGTATAGAAAAAGACTCATGTCCTTGTCCTTACTCAGGGATGAATATGTGCACATTAGACAAAGCGAACCTCATCAAGCATTTTCCATCCTTTTTTTTTTTTTTTTCTGCATTTTTAAACTGTTTTACTTCTAAGTAGAGATATTGCCCTCATTTCTATCTCTGAAGTACAAAATCTACTTTAGGCACTAACTCTTATTTATAACATCATTATATCCATATAGAAAAAAAAATTGAGGTAGGCCATGGAGAAGGGACACTTTCTGAAGTCCTTTGCTAGTTGAGACAATGTATAAGAGTTGGATGAGAAGATGACAGAAGAGTAGGAGAGAATATTTGATATCTCCAGTAAAGGGAAATAAGTGACGACTATGTAACTGATTAGTAATATCCCAACAGAGATGAAAAATGCAATGATAATGGGCAGTTTGAAGATTATAGCCAATGCAAGCCAATAAACTATCACGACAACAAGTAACTGGACTTGTTATGTCAATCCAACAACATTTGCAATACATGACTTTGGTGCAAGTGTACTTATATTAATATTCTTTTAGGATTGAGCTTTAGCACTTAATACTAGAAGGCAAATCCAGTTTGGAAATCCAGCAAATCAGATGGCTATTTTATATCTGCTGTTGTAACTAATCTCCAGAGCTTGATCAACAGTGAAACTATAGGAACTGCTGTCGACTCTTAGATTCAATCTGAGCTCATTTTCTAGCTGTGAGTGCTGTCAAAATGATAAGAATAAGCACTAAACTTATTCACTAGATCTTAGTCATGCTTGCAGAGTTTGCTCTTCCTTCGTGACACGAAGGTCATTTACCCCTGGAGGAAATGAATAGCAAGCCTGCTCCGTTCTATTTGCCCTTTGTTGCAGAAAGACAGGTTGAAGAGGCTAATTAGCTGAATTCATCAGCTGAGAAGGCAGTACAGTATTGGGCTTGCCCTTCCTCTGCAAGACACATATGCTCTTACAAGCAAGCACCTCCTGCAGATAGGTGATACGATGTTAGAGAAGGTTAGTTCTGTTCCTATATAATTAGGCTGAACAGCAGTAGATGTTCCAGTGTGCGGTTATACAATGTATCATAACCTGTCATATCCTGTGTCCTCTCCAAAAGCATGTCCTCTTGTTTCATTTGTTTGTTTGTTTGCTTGTTTGATTTGGTTTTGCCTTTCCCAGCTGTTACATTTACTGGAATGCTTTGTAGTTGTGGTGTGGAGCCTGATCACGTAAATCATGACATATACAATACGAATGCCAGTTTATCCCTCTGGCCATTTGTCTCAAGAGGATGAAAGAAATAACTAAGTGTTCCATTTTAATAATTTGCTTCTCAAAAGGTGCTGTGTACAAGAGTGTATTAATTCCTTATAGTTTTAAAGCGGCTGCTCTGAAGTCTCTTGGAAGCAAGAGAATTTCCCTTCTGCACTGGACATCTGGATCACAGAACTGCCTGCTGTTCAAAATACTTTGAGTACTATCTTCATCAGTTTTATGCTTACTCAATCTCTATGACTTCTAGATCGAATTTTCTCCATTTATGATGTAACTGAATAAGACGGTGCTTCCTGATGGCCCATCCTGTACACTCAAAGACAGGATTCAAAAGTCGAAGCACATTGTTTCTGACATACATTCTCATCACTAGAGACATTCAAAAAGATGCATCAACATTCCAGTTAAAGCAACGAACTTCAAAATAAAATCACCACCTCCTTCACATATTTTACCATTTTTTCATCCACAGATGGAAAAAAGTCTAGATTCAGACCTAAGCCTGGAGCTTAGTTCAGAGTTCTGCTGGTTAGGCTCTCCAAGACAACCCATGCTATCAGAAGAATAACTGTTTAATATTTATTTTTTATCACTGAAGTAAGGAGAATGGATTTCTAACAAACATTCCAACTCTGTGGAACAAGAAAATGCCTTTCATAAATGCTCGCTGTTCTGCATTAGGAATTAGGAATATTTCAGAATATTTCTATGTATAAAGCTTTTTTTAATTTCAACAAATTAAAATCTGGAGTTTGTCTAAGCAAATAATTTCTTAGTCTACATTTTCTTGACAATGGATGTCAAGGAAAACCTTTTTTCACAGAACCTCAGGACTCAAATAAATTAAAAATTTTTGAATAAGATTGCCTTAGATTTAAATAATGAATTTCTATAAATATAATATGGATATTATAATCTTTCACTATTTTATTCTTAGGTCATTAAGAACACCGATGCCAAATACACTGCGTTGATTTGTTCTTTTACCAGATTATCTCACGCTTCCTATTTGGTAGTCCTACCTGCTTGGTTGATAAATGTAAGTGCTATTTGTCATTAATAGGACTTGAACTATTTATCGTTAAATATTTTCCTGCTGCATTCTCTCTCATCTGAAACAAATTGAGATTTTCACCTAAATTGGCAAGTTTGTTCTGCTTAAGATGATTCATAATAGCCACATGTTTACATTCCACAGATTTCCAGACGTGGGGTTCACAAGGGGGAAAATAATTCAGAAACTTGAGCTACATTTTTCTCTGGCTTTCCACCCTTTCAGTGTCCAGCCACATCTCTACAGGCTCCTCTCCTTTTTCTTCCCATCCATACAAACTCCTACGAAATGAAAGTCCTGGTTTTCTAGGAGACTCTATTATGGCCTGAAGTTTTTAGCCCAGTGCGAGTACATAATAATAATCTCTACCTTTGTACAAATTTTTTGGAACTTGGCACGTATGACCGCATCCGTTGGAACAGCATTTCTTCACTCCAGAACATTCACTATCAGCTTCACAGCTTTCAACACAGGCAGCTGCAAAACCACTGGCCTTCTCAGGTGCTGGGCAGTCCCCTTGCTTCACAGACAGGATGTACTTAAGGAATTCACAGCTAGTTAGGCATTCATAATTCTTCTTGGGGAAAAGCGGCTAAAGGGGAAACAAAAGAATTATATAAAGTTTTCAACAGGAACACAAAAAAAAAAAAAAAAAAGAAAAAAGAAAAAATGTTGTACGTTTTCCAAGACCTCCTAAAGGAAAATTCAGATTTTCAACTTTTGCAAGACTATCCCTGAAGATTTATATATTCAAGCCACTTCTAAAAAAGCATTCCAAGTACAGAATGATGAATTCCCTCAAGTAAGACCACCATCTTTAATGGAATAAAGTTGTTTATGTCTGCCAGCTTTCCCTTGTTTTCCTCACATTGGCTGGCTACAAAGTTGCTCAATGACAGATTAAAAACATTCCCAAAACAAAGGGGAAGCAACGGTCAGACAGTCTTTTTTTTTGGACTGCCCCACATTCCTCCCTTTGTACTTCATAACACTTTACCCACAATATCTGATGTAATGCCACTCTAGATAAGTGAAATCTTCTTTCTTTATACTGTTTGAACTGAGCTGGCTAAGAGATTTTGCAGCATCTTTACGTTCTTGCCAGCATATTAGTAATTGTATAACTCTTCATGGAACTGGAACTAAATTTCTGACAAAATGATCAGCAGAAAATACAGATTAAAATAAACCTTAAATATATTGATTAAAGATCAAAGTAAATGCTATTTCTTTGAGAAATCAAGTCCTAGCATGGGCATTTTATAGCATGTGTACTGCTCAGAGGTTTGTACGGTTCACTTAAAACCGTATTAAAGATAGCATCTAGGACCTGGGCGAGCACATTCTGTGTGACATGGGGATTTCATCTCTTCTTTTATCTGTTGCTTTATTTAGTTTGGTGCAAAACCAGCTAAAGTGATTCCCTCAAAGTAATTGGTGGAATTGTAGATGGGCAACTCATGTAGAGTGGGGTTATCTACAGCCTGCCTTTCTATTTCAGAGCAACCCAAAACCTTCCACTCTGATGGATCTGTTTTACGGATTCCTAAGCCTACACAGGAATTATAACTCACTCTCCATCCAACTATTCATGCAACTTCTGCAACTTCCTCCCATATTCATCCGGTTTACTTTCTTATTTTTACCCTTCTCATGTTTCTGGCAAAATGAGACAGACTCTTCACTATTAATGAGGCCCAGGTCTTTCCCAGACCATGTGTCAGTTTATTCTCCAAAGTCACAGTGGTCCAAGAATGTGCCGCTAAGTGGCACAATCTCCCATCTTGTCCTACAGAACAGTCCAGAATTTTTGAATCAGGCTTTTAAGGATGCATTTGGGTGTTATGGCTTAACCAGCCTTAAGGCCGCCAAAATGAGCTGTCCTCCTCTCTCCTACTGACCCCAGAGATCCTTGGACATGCACTCCTACTGTTCCCCCCATTGAAGGCACCTGATCCCATGGTTAGCCAGTTAAGAAGCTAAACCTGCAGGAAACTGGATTCATGGAAAAAAAGGAGTCAGGTAAACTGTCTCTTCTTCTTCTTCTTCACCCACAGTGTTCCTTTAACATTAGTATACTCATTCAGTAGATAAGAAGTAACATACCAAGCAGGGACCTTGAGAAATACAAAGCTAAATTGTTGCTTCCAGATTTTTTACAAAATACAAAAAGATTGAAAATGCTCTCAAAGGAAAACAGCTTCGTTTCATTCCATCAAACAATGTCTATGGAGCATACATGAGTCTGAGAGAAAGGAAGGAAAGTGGTCCCGTGCTTTTGTGTGTGTGTGTGAAGCTAATTTCAAATCCTAAAACATCACAAATTTGCAGCTACTTAATTAAAAACTTTATAGCTCCCTGAGGCATAATACATCCTCAAGGCTTCTCCTCCTCACCCTATTTCACAGCTCATTTTTCAGTTAGCTGCTAAATGTGCTGCTCCTCATTATGGGCCTTTGAAGTTCTAAATTTAGCTTCAACCACAAAACACTAATCAAAGAGGGATGCTCACTGTTTTTAACTACAATAGAACAGTGTTCTACAAATGTTTTCCTTTTAAACCAATTTTATACATATTTTCACCCATATCTGGAAACATATAGCCTGAGTGAGAAGTGCTATATGAGAATGACAGAAATTAGATCCACTAAAACTGCTTTATTACACTACCTTAGAGTTTTGTATATGAGGAAGCAGCAATTAATTTGGGTTGAAGAACTCTTACAAGGATTGGTTTCCATCAGAAATTTTTACTTTTTCTTCTAATGTAAATACATAGACCAGTAATCCAGTAATCCCTATTTACACTTAGGATCTAAAATATTGTTAGTTGAAATTACAGCTTTTTCTAATCATCTTCATGATGCTTAAAATCATTTAAACGTCAGACATGCTCTTGTACCAGAAAAAGAGTGCCCACAGCGATGAGGGAGGAGTTAAATCAGTGAGATCACAGTTTATCAGTGAGATCAATATATCAGTTAAGGTCACTTCTATTTTTTCACAGTAAAAGTTGAAAATCTTCCTAAACATGCACTTTCATAGACTTGACTAAAGGTGTATTTTTATATTGATTTAATTATAATAAAGCAACTTTCTATTGAGATGATATTTCCATTTTGTACTAAAAACCAGTTAAGAACTCAAAAAACTGACTTCCACCAACTCAGCAGAGCCATGTTGTAAATCCTATAAAACCATCTCCTTTTTCGTACTAACTGATCTAGGTTTGCTTATTCACAAAGTTATTCTGAAACATGATTCAGAAACAGTTTTCCAAATAATTGTGCCTGAATAGTTACATATTTTGATAGTAGTCTTCTGAACTAAGAGTCTACAATCCAGTTACTCCTGGAGAGACATTATTTTAGAAATCAAATTGACTTTCACATACAGGAAAGCCATCTTTTCCAGCTACCCTGCACAGGGATTTTCGCACAATGACATTTTATCTTTTAAACAAAGATACTCTTTCTTACGCATGGCCAGAAAAGATTGAAGGGCATGTGGTAGAAATAGCAATTTACAGGAGGGATTTAACAGCACCTTCTGAGAGAAGCTATGTAAGTGTGGATGGATCAAGTCTTAAAACTTCAAGTTGAGATAAATAATTTCGGTCAGAAAAAAAAAAAATTTTTTTTTTTTTTTAAACTCAAACCTAATAGGTCTAAGTTGTTATATGTGTTGTATGTTATATTGTGTATCCATTCAAATGAAGGTGAATGCTGTAAAAAACCCATGTTTGTTAGCTGTCTCCTTGAAGCTATCAATTTAAATGAAAGAGACAGCTAGAACAAAGTGAGAAAGAATGCCCTTAGGCTGACGTACCTCACAGAAGCTTTGGCAATGGTTTTTCTTCAGGTCCCAGGACTCTTTGCAGGGCTCCAGGCACTAGGAAGAATCAGCAGACAAGTGTCAGGAAGAGAAAGAAATAAACAACCACAAATGACTCCATTTCTCCTCCAGTTGTTTGTTTGGCCCACAGAAAGTTAATAATAGGCTTTAAAAATCCACTTCTCCTGAGGATAAGATTGTGTCATTGAGTCATGGTGTCAGACCAAAGTCATGCCAAGCCATGGTTAGATTACAAGAAATATTTTCGGTATTTCTTACTGTACAAGGCAATTGCCTCACTTGTTTATATGCCATCCTATTTTCTGCCTTATTGAATCTAGGTCCTAATACCATTTAACACTGTGTCGCTGGATCACACACAATGTCAAAAGCACTACTCTAGGCTACAGAAAGTTAAATCTCCTCACCGACCAGCCTAAAGATTAGACGGGCACATTGCCTTCTCAAGCGAGAAACTATTTCATCAAGCTATGGAGTAAACTCAGCAGAGGTTCAGCTACTATTCCTGTATAAATAGACAATGATGTTCACCGGTCTGTTAGCAAAACCACTTTGTTTCAAGTACCATATCATCATTTCTTCACCTTCAGCCTCCACCTCAATGATTCAAACTCTGCAAATCAGAGCCAAGCTTCACAGCATAGCATAAAGAAAAAATCACACTATTAAGAGCATTTACTGCAGCTGGAACATAAATCTAGACTCGCATCCAGAAACCTTTTCTCTTCCTTTGTTAGACAGACAATCTTGGAAGACACTAGCATTGTGGGGAGTTAATAACACCTACTCCTTCCGGTAGAAGTGGAAAGATACTTACTCCAGCAAAAAGAAAGGCCTTTGACATGCAATTTAGTTTTTATATAATTTGTTTCTTTTGTACATAGTATTAGACTGGATCCATATACATTTATGCTATTAAAAAAAAAGCATGAATACATATAGGCTTTATCTCAGCTGTCCACCTGTATCATTAATGTAATAAAAAAAAAAAAATCAGTGTTTTAAAAGCTAAGCATTTTTCTTACTAGCAACAAAGCCTGAAAAAACATAATAAAACCATTAGTCACAGAGGTTACATATTTCAGGAATGAAAAATACCACTCAAACATTTACTCTCTATACATTTTGGTATTTTACACTCAATTTCAAGTCTTCAAAATTCACAATACAGAGTAACTAGAAGGATACATTATAAAATGCCACTGAAGTCAGCAAGTTTAAGTGATTCCAGAGTGTTGTTCCTCCTGTGGTATAGTTACTGCACATTTGAGCACAAATCTAATGTCATGCCAATTTTACAACTCTCCTGTTTGATGGATTTAGCCCCAAATTACAGAGGTATGAATGATGCAAAGACAAAACAAGCAACATTTTGAGCACACTGGGACTTCACCAGTGATCCTCAAGGCTGTCAGGATTTCTATATCCTTGCCTTTTCTGAATTTTTGCTTCACTGCTGCACAGCCACACAGTGCGTATCTAAACCGGCATATCCACCATCTCGAGACGACAACTAGGACCAAGGTCAAGCTGACTGGACCACATTCCTTGCAGGTTCTAAAGCAAAAGAGTTGGTACTCCTGGAAGGAAATACCAAGGTGCTGTATGCTTCAGACAGTTTGTGCAATGTGTTTGTGCCAGGATGTCTTTACCTGCAACGTAAGTAGGCTCCAGCACTTGACACCTTGTCTGGCTGCTGCTCTGTCTCAGTGATCATCAGGACAGCCCGGGCTACTTTCAGTTGAGCCCAGCATCTCCTGCCATCAGGGCAGGCAGAGACGATGGGCATCTCAACCCAGACACTTCAAAGGAGAGACAGATATATGAACCTGGGCTGAGCAGTATCCTGCAGTCTGACTGCCCTCAGAATACTCCAAGGAGAACAGATGATGTAGCAAGCCATAAGGCCTCCATCATAGGCTTTACAGGCTCTGATTAGAGTGCATGCTCTTACCTACATGTAAAAAAAAATAATCTTCCTACTACTGCTGTATGAGTCCTCAGAGCATCGGGCTTAGCCTAGCACCATGGCCTGCTGCAGAAGCCGATTGCCAAGCTTTAGTGGAGCTGTACGATTCCATAGGTTGGAGAAAAACTGCTAGCAGACAGAAATGTTGCCAATACGTTTGCACTAGAAGAGTTTGGGACTGTCTTTCTAAAAAGGTAGTTAATAAGCTTCCAATAACAAAGAGGAGACCACGTCACAAACGCTGAGGTTTGTGCACTTATCCTCTTAGTTATTCTGTTATGAGGTTCCCTGAAAGCGGGAAGCTGGAAAAGCTGGAAGCTTGGATCCAGGTCTCATCTTTGAGTCCTTGACTTAAGGTGTAAATCAGCTGAGATCTTGAGAACTCCCCCACTGTCTGTGGAGCTTTATCCTCTGAAGTAGCAACCACATCTGTTTTCTTAAATCCAGATCTTCTTCAGAGAAGAAAAAAAAAAAAAAGCATACATCTTAAAATTTAAAATTTGGATAATGTATTTCTAATAATTTCAATGCAACTCAGCAAAGGCTCCCCCAGACCAGCAGCAGTTATTTCACTGGTGTTTAGCTTAGCCTTGACGTCTTAAAGGAAAGCACACAGCATTTCTCACCAATAAGAAGAGTTTCAAGAATATACCTAAAACACCCATGAGAAAACTATTCCCACCCAGCAGGTAAACACATCCGGGTGTTCTGGACTAGTGTAAACCTGTGTGTCTCTTAAAAGGATACTGAAATCCTCTATCCGGGATAAGGAGGAATCTGGGCCAAGTAGTAGCTGGTAGCTGGTTTTGGCTCTACTTTATGTAATAAAAAATACCTGGCAGACATTACCGCCCGCCCTCAGAAGCTAAGCTTGGGTATGTAGATGGCAGACCACCAGCAGGCAGGCGGGCAGCGGCGCGGGAAGTGTGCCAGCAGTCCCTTTGGCAGATGTCACTGGTCCCCTGGAGCCACTGCTGACCACTGCCCCGCACCACCACCGTAAAGGCTGCTCTGCTGCTGGGGCAGGAGGAGGTAGATAGGAGACACAGGGCTGAACCAGCCATTATGGGCCGGTGGCACTCTTCAGGGGACGATGGGTGTTAATCACACTGGCCTGGTTCAATTCAATCCTCCCAAAGCACCTGTTTTATCATCTCCTGGGCTTAAATCCCGAAGCGGTAGGCTTGCTTGTTTCATCCAGACTGCCGCAGAGTTGTTATTCAGTACTGAACAATTGCATCAAAAGCCAAAAGGAGTGCTGATAGGAAGCACTCAGTATTTGTCATCCTTCGAAATTTGAGTGTGTGGGTACATAGGTACACACATATAGGTATAAATATATATGTATATCATATACTACTATAGATCTGTTAGTATTCAGACTATATAAAATTAGGAACAAGGGCAAAGAACGGTTTCATTCAAGGAAGAAGGATTGCTATTGCTTTAAAATATTTTGGTTTATATTTTTTATTTCTTTTTTTTTTTAATTTGCAGTTAAAGGCCCTGTTAAAGAAGTCTTTTTTGCTCTTATTTTTAAACTATAAATAAAGCAACTATGACATTAGCATATGATGCATGCCATTTACATTAGTTACTAAAGGGATTTTCAAAATAGTCCACCAACACTTTTGCTTAGGAAATGTTGCCTTTGAACTGAATGGGAGAGAGTTACACGAACACAGCAATTTTGAAAACTAATAAGTTGCAAAACATCATTTAAGTATTGAAATAAATATTTTTTCAAATACTGTATATTTATTCAAATATTATATTTACATTAACTGAATATGACATATTTATAACTATTTAAACAGCAAAAAATTATTTATTTCAGAGTAGAAGAGGCTACCCACAGTACTTTTGTCTAATAAGGCTTCTTCCTTCACCAAAGTGGAACCAAGTCATATGCAAACTGTTACAAAAAAAAGTGGAATCAAAGTGTTATACAATTATTCTTTTCATTATCAGTCATCATTCCAGTTGCTCACAATGGCAAGGTTGGAAATTAATGATTTATGTTTACAATATATATTTAAGTGTTTTGCTGTCCTAAAGTATTTTATTAAATGAAACTTAGATGGTTAAAAAATAAAAGGAAAAAAAAAACCTTTCAGTGTACAGTGTCCCAAAACCTTGTCAGATCATGAAGCCAAGTACCTAAAAAATGCATGTACTCACTATCAGGCATGAGCAGAGAACACTTTTGGGGTCAGGAATTTAACCAAAGTCAAAGGAGAATACAGTGTTCATCACTCTTAGAAAGAATTATTTTGTGATGGATATACTTAAATATACGCCTACGCCCAAAGGAATTGTGAGAAAGGTGCTTTTCAATCTGTAAATCTTGGCAAAGTGGCAGTAAACTCAATGCAAAACATAAACAGGCAGCAAGAGAGAAATAACTGATTCTGAGATATTTTTTTATCTACATCTGCTGTTTACGAATAGGATGGAAACACTTTCTGTGTCTCAAAAATTGGACTGTGAGTTCTCAGAAGAACACAATTTTTTTGTATCAGAACAGTAAACGCACAGTTGCATATTTACCCAGTCCAAATCAATAGCATGCTAGCTTGGTAGAACAATATTAGGTATTAACAATATTACGTCATAGAACATACTATCTTTTGAATAATTTGAACAACTACTTTTCTTCTTTATGAGTCATGAGATGCAGGATGTGTTTACTGGAACTATTTCTCATGATAAAACTGAGGAGATGCATCAGAAAGATTTATAATTTAAAAAGTTTTGGCACAGTGAGGAATCCTACAGAGGCAGGTAAGCGAATCCAAAATCATAATGTAAAAAAACCTCTTCTCATTTCCACACTGGATCATTCACACTACTCCCCAAAACCCATGCTTGATAGTTCAAGTGATTTGGAGGCTTTACGTGAGTAATTCTCCATGTGAGTGGTTCATGGTATCAGGATATTGCACTCAAGCTTGTGGGCAACTTTCCTAGTGATCAACTGCCTCACATGAGGCACTGCAGCACTTCAGGTATGAGCAACTTCAGGTGCTCGTACACCCTATCATGTCAGGCACCCACTGTACACATC